CTTTCTCCTTAGGTTTATACACACAAGTTACAAGGTAACACACTACCAGTTACAACGATTAGGTTTAATCTACATGTAATATTTGCTGTGTCCTTCCTTCTAATCAGTACACATGCTCAGAGGAGAGGTCTTCATTTGGGCCAGAGTCTTTTTGACCTCTGTGGGTGTGATTTTTAGTATTTAGTATTATAAAAGTTAGTTTTATTGCCATGATAATCAAATGATCACTTGGCCAAGCTGGCAAATAACTCATCCTGTAGTACTACCAGTCCTGAATGTCCTCTTTTAATCATCTGAGCAAGACCAGGATCTAGTTTTACCCATGAATTCCTTATTGTTTCAAGAGGTTCATTTTGTCCCAGGCCCAAGATGCAATAACTATGTAACTATGGCTACCAATTGCAGGTGCACAATACAGCAAGTGATATATCGTATCACTATAAAAGAACAAAGAAAGATGTTTTTCTGCAGCTTTGAGGTCAGCAGTTGTCTCTATTGCAAAATAGCCTCAGCAACCCCTCAGTGTGTTATTTTATAACCATTGCGCTGAAAACCACTATGAGTCAAAGCCTATTCAAGCGAGGGAAAGTGACAGAACCACTGGTTACCAGTAGCAATGCGATGACAATCTCTCCATCAGGAATATGCCACCAGTATTTACATAGTTACATTGCAGACGCTTAAAGAGATAGTCACGTACAAAGGCAGGGTTTCTAGCAGCACATGAACTCAAGATAGGGAAATAGATTGTTGTGGAAAATGTGATCAGCATTTGTGCTCTGAAAGGAACTTCCACAGTTTCTATTTACAATGTATGAAGGCATCTGCAGGGCTTGCTGACAGGCTGATCGCTCCGGACTGGAATGACTCTCAAAAAAGCACTGTGAAATGTACTTCTGGGAATTCTCTTACAGCAGCAGGGACATGGCTGAAACATTTCAAGAGAAAAGGGCAGCTGTGCTTATAAACTACTCCCATGGTAGGAGCTGTGTGTTTAGGAGGGTGAACAGAGCACAGTCCTTTATCCAAAGCCAGAAAAAAGTTCAGACCTTATTATGGATGTCCTGTGGGCAACAACGCTGTGATTTCTTAGGGAGGAAACCAGCTGGCTCTGCCTCTGCTAGTTCCTGGTACGTGGTGTTTGGTAAATGTTAGTACTTTGTGGGGTGTGACAGGTACAGAGTGAGCTGTACAATCACTAATGGCAAATGTTTTTAAGCCAAGATACTGCTTTACTGTTCACTAGAAATCAGCAACTACAAAATATTTGATTCTGACATCAGGCCAGGCTCTGCAAAGATTATTTTAGCAAGAACAGCTGTGTAAGTTGAATGTACATACTCAATCTGGATATGCTGGGGTGTTTTTATATAACACATCCTGAAAGCGTGGAGTTTTCATACATTCATACATATATTCATGGATTTGGAGCAGCAGTGGGTCATGAGGTGTACTTGATTAGGAAGCAAAAAAAGAAAAAAGCAAAAAGCAGAAAAAACCCCAAAGCAACTCCCTACCTACCTGCATTGTTCATGAGATCAAGAACGATTTATCCCTCACTTAAGCAGAAGTTAAAGCTAGGAGGTGACTCACTCTGCAAAAGCACATCTCCCTTGTATGAGTTTTCTGCAAAGGGAGGTTTAATTTCTTCCTTTTAATGACAATGAGCACAATACTGATTTTCTTCCAGCAGTTAATGGCTGGCACAACAGGCAGGATGAGAGCATGACTACGCTCTTCAGCCACCTTCTGGAGCTATAATCTGCGTCAAGATTTTGAAACCACAAAACCAACCAACCAGCCTATTTCTTTCCCCTCTAGACTCACTACTCAACTAACACAACTAACGCAAGTGTGAAATTCTGACCTCCTAGTCATGCTGACAGAGCTCCTGCTCTGCTGGAAGTAGGGATGAGAAAACTCACATCGCAAATACATCCACAGATGGCTTGTTATTTTCAAGGGCTGTGCACACACTGTAATAGTCCATAGGCAAGAACAGATTTGGACTGATGGCCTGTGGAGTTGAGCCAACTGGAAAGAAAAGAAGGAGATCTGACCGGCATGTTGGGAAGCAGTGCTGACAGACGGGTAGAGAGCGGGAAGTAAACATGTGCAAGTTCTTTAGTGTTATTTTGCCACTGAGTCTCTGAATGACTTCTGGCAACTATCTTTGACTCTCCGTTTGCATTCTGCCTACAGTGACTACTCCTGCATGCACTGGGCATCTCTGCTATTATACATACATGATTAACACTGAGAAACAATCAAGTTCCAGTTCTATTTTAAATAGGTTTTCACACATTAATCTTGAAAGCAAAAGCATAATGTTCCATATACTGTAAAGGAAATGAAAGAAAAGGTGAATTGGGGAAACTTGTGTTCATACAGCACAGGTTAGAAAATAGCTAGAACTAAGACATTCACAAATATATTATCCAGTTTAGATAAATGCATGGTGCCATCAAATAGAGACAGCAACTGCATCACTGAGGTTTGTTTTTCAGGGAAAACTACCAACAGAAGATGGAAAAGGTCCTTGCTACCTGTTGGTCTGTGAACAGTGTGTAAGAGGAAAAAAAATACTTGTCCTTCCCAACTTGTCCTTCCCTTCCCCTCCTTCCTTCATAGCTGATGACTGACTGGTGATCAGCCTGACAAGAGCTCGGGACCAACACAGCCAGCATCCCATACAAGTTGTATCTTTCCCATATTGTACAGAAAGGGGGATTCACGGCCTGTCCTTGTGTAACCAAACCTAGAGTGAGCTGGGTAAAATAATTTCTGTTCAGGCATACCCAGATTCTGAGAAGGTTATTTTTGTTCTTTATTGAAATGAAAGGGCTGCAGTCAGAAATGCAGTGGAATTCAAATGCTGGAGTATTTTAATTGTGAAGTAAGACCTTCCAGTGTTGAACAAATATTTCACACATAATTCACTGTGAAATTAAGAGAAAACAATACTTTTAAGGCTCATATTTTATCAAAACTGAGGAACTGTCCACTAGCCATTACCATTAGCCATTTTGGTGGCAACTGCTATTTTACTGGAAAGCTACTCTGTCAGAAGGAAAGCCCAAATTAACTCTTTAAGTACAGAGGAATGAAAATCCCAAGTGTTTACGTACCCCTTCATGTGCATTGTAAACCTCCGGTTACAGTATACTCCTGCTTAATGTGTGGCAAGAAAAAATTGAGCCTAAAAGAGGTCCATCACCCCGTGTGGAGAATATGAGGAAAATAGTAAGGAAGCCTTTCCACTTCCGGAGAATGTGAGCAATGGCTGTTACAGGAGAATAATGGAAGGAATATATTCCATCTAGATGGCATTTATGGGTCCTTCTGAACAGTAAAAAAATACTTTGCAAATGTCTAGAGCAGTAGGTCATTTTATACCTATGCAGTGTTCAATTTGTCTGTAATGACTTCACTTGTGGTCTCAGTTGAGATTCCTTTCTAGTTTGAAACCAATAAACTTGAACATTCAGAGGGAAAAGGTTGTAACATGGAATGCAAGAATGTATGTTTTGTATCACGTCTTGTGATAATGGAATTTCAGAAATAAGATATACAAATTCACAAACTAAAACAAAAAAGAAAACATCACATTAATGCAACCTACAGTCCACTTGAAGTTACAGGAGCTAATTCCTCTTTATGTGCTTTGGTGTAACCTGAACACAGTAGTTAAGATGCAGTATGGATCAACCCTCAGACTTATTGATGAGTAGCCTACAAAGCAAATGGAACAGTTTGAAATAAAGGCTGATAGGTTTATTTGAAACTACAGGACACATTCTTGTGCAGGTTTTAAAAGCTTTCTGAACCATAGCTATTGAGCTGTCCTCGTCATACTTTTAAAAAAAGAACTTCTTTGACAGCAGCTTGCACTAATAAAATGAAGTCATTTTATACCTGCTGTGATTCTTAAAATCCAAGAGCCAATTCATCCTTTTGTACAGAAACAGCTGTGGGAGTGTAAAAGGCCTCCTAATCCATGGGTTTAATTTCAGTAGTTTTCTGCGGGCAGTAAGGGAGATAAAGACAAGTTCTACAGTCACAAAAACCAAGACTGAGCAGTAGGGGTGGTACTACTGATGTAAAACCCCTAAAAGCAGCTAGAATGAGCCAGTGCCAACAACACTCATGGCACATGGTTTCTAAACTGCTTTTGGCAGCTGGATAAATCCAATAGTTCTAGGGTCCATGGCTTGTGCTGTCACTGAGCCATTGCTCACAGCCTCTGTGTGTCTGCTGCTGGGGAAAACTTGTTCAGGCAATGACTGAGGAATGCAGCCCTTCTTGGCAAAAGTCTTAGGGACATACATGTGGTCCCATGGCATTTAAATGAGAATTAAAACATACACTTCAAGTTAAGGGACTTCTTCCAAGATCTACTAATGGGGCAAACTAACAGAATTTTTATTTCAGTTGGGAGGGACCTACATTGATCATCCAGTCCAACTGCCTGACCAACACAGGGAACTTCAGCCTATGCTTAACTGTTTCCTTGGCCTGGTGGCTTGGTATTCTCATACCCATGACTTTCCTCCCAGAGGCTGTATGCAGCCTATTCATCCCAGGGTCTGATTTGCACTATTAATGAGTATCTAGTGATCTACAAGATCACTGTCTCCTCCCATTCGCTATTATTGCAGCGCCAGAGGTTTCTGCCCAGTAATTCAGATGATTCTGTTCACATTGAACATATGGGAAATACAAAAAACAAGAAGCAGTCCTTTCCAGTTAGAAATCTATGAGATTACTGCTATTTAGCCCATTTTGATCAACCAGATAAAGACTTACATTGTACCTTTCCACTTGTTCAATTCCATGGGATTAGTTCTGGAAGCTCAACATTTTTGATCCACAGACTTCCAATTTTCTTCAAAATTAGCCTTTAAATACCTGCAGCCATAACTCAGTCAGCGAGAAGCCAGAAGCACTTTTACTTACGCAAAACTCCAGTGCACAGTTGTCACACGAGAGCACAGGGTGCGTGTTTTTTGTTGTTGTATTTTTTATTTGAGGTACTGCAAGAGCTTTCTTCTGATACACACTGACGGGGCTTCCGGTAGAAGGCTTTCAAAAATACTGAGAATGATGAATCACAATCAGAAATAAATGACTCCTACATCTATTAAGACAGTTATTTAGAAAATGTTTTGATGAATCATGCAATAATTCTCACAAAGAGCATTATGCTTTTTCATAGATTTGGTTTTGTTTTTTTCCTAAGTCTTACGAAAAGACCTTGTGCTTTTAAGGCTTGAAATGAAAACATATTTACAGCAGGCATCATAAACACCATAAATGACCATAAATGCCACTTCAAAGTTCAGAGAGGCAAAGTGGTGACGCTTCCCTGCTTTGCCATTCACCAAACACACTGAGGGTGTTTTCACATCTGTTCTGTAAACTCCCAGTTTCAAAGTGTTCAGTCCTGGATCTTCAGTATGCTCCTTTTCTCCAAGTCATTCATTTCCTTCAGTATAAGGGCAACATTGTATCTCAGTTCTTGAAACTTTGCAACTGGCACCTGAAACAGAATATTCATGTTAGAAAATATGAAACATCTTGGGAACTGTCACAAGGACATGCCTAGGGACTGGGACATGCCACAGTGCCAGCCCCATTTTCTTTTTTAGGTTTTTTTTTTAGACCTAAAGGATTTGAGGTTAGGAAAATGCAGTTAATTCAAGGAAATCATCTGGGTAAAAAAGGAGAGTGGGAAAACCCAGAAATGACATCTTCTACACTGCCTGATGTGAGAAAGGACATGCTCTAGAATGTAAACTGGTGGCTGCTGTGGTGAAGCGAGTTATGGACTGGAAGGAAAGATAGACACTTGGAAGGTTGCAGAGACTAAATAATTCTCAAGCAACAAATTCCAGATATTCTGCTTGTCTGAACTTTGCAAGAGAAAGGAATTGAGGACTTGGCAGCAACCTCAAGAGCAAAGGGCACTGCTTGTATGTGGAAGGCTGAAGGTTTTGATTAAAGTATACAAAACATTTTCAGTCATGCAGGAGACTAATGGACTTCCCTTTACCACTTCAAGCCTGAGAAGCCAAATGGATAGAAATCTGTTACCTGGTAAGACAGAGAACCACATCGGAGTGCAGGCACAGACTGGGTGACATACTAGTGCAGCACAAACACATGTGCTCATGTGAGTACCAGCAGCAGTCTAGCTAGTCCCAGCCTGCTCTGCAAAGCACTGCCTAATTTACTTCTTTGAGAACACTGAAGACACGGTTCTTTTGACAGAGTCCTTCCTAATCCTTCTGCCTACTGTAGCACAGATACCAACTGTGTGAGAGGAATCCAACATCTGATTTACATTTTCCATATGCATCAGAAATGCATCAGAAGGCATCACATCCTTTTCACTTCTGACATATATACAAGACTCAAGTCTAAACAATTAAGAACATCTACTAGTTTTCACAAGTGAAACTCGCCCTGTTGTCAAGGGTTATCCTGAAGTCCATGGCATCATTTCAGTTCCATGGAAGACCTCAGAGTGTATGGGATGCCCTGAGCTGGACTGTCCACAGCAAGGGCATTTGATCTCAATACTTTGCAATACAGCACTGAATTTGTGCCTTCCTCAATAGCTGCCTGCTTGTGAAACACTGTAAAAGTAAAATCAGTCCTCCTCTTTCAACCCACAGTGCTTGGTGCTTCCTCCAGACTACTACTAACACCTGAACTGAAGCCAAAATCTTTAGAGAGTTCAAACGTAACAGCGCCTGCTGTGCACTGAATTCCTGTACGCACCACCATGTTATTTATAGAACAAGTAGCATTCCTTTTCAAAAGTTAAAAATATGGAAGAGTTTATGCCATCTTCTGGCAAGCCTTTCTGTACAGCGTCAGGAATGCTGCCACTGTCTAACTCTGAGGAAAAAACCAAAGAGGTTTTTTTACTTTCTTTCTAGCAGCAAGAACTTTACTGAAGAATAAAACTATCTCTGCCCCAGAAGAGAATGTTACCATTTTAGAAGTGTATCATACATTATATAAACTACCCCAGTGATTTTCCTGCCCTCAAGAACCACCATCAGGTCTGAAGGTTGCAGTTGATAACAAACCCCTATTTTTTAGTCAAACCGGGTATTACACAACAGTGGTTTTTAGTAATTAATGCTCTTTAACAAATGAGTTTCCAGCAGTATGCGTGTAGGAACAAGGTATAAAATGATTTTGGGTGGCATTTTGTTATATGCAGCTACTCGGAGCATGAAGGATTCCAAAGAAAACTAGCCAATGATAATGTACTGTTTACAAAAGCTTTAACATTTAAAACAGTAAAGAACTGTTAAAAACTGTTAAAAGGATCTTCAATGATTTATTTTCTTTTTCTTTTTTAATTATGGTAATCAGACTTACTTCAAAGCGATGAGCTGTCCCATCCGAAAGCTTCAGCATCATTAGAATGGATGGTTGAAGTGCACGGGCCAGTGAACTGAAATTATTTACATGATTAGTATTACAGCAATAGACATGGGCAGTGGGATGAGTACAGCACTGTACATTAGCAAGTTGAGAGGTTCATGTAGGCTTTACATAGAACATGAGTAATTTCAATTCCAGAGACCTGTACCTGGCTGGCAACTCAGGAGCATGGGAGTCATGTCCAGTTTACCTCAGTACTGAGACTAATAGTTTAGTAACTGTGACTTTAGGAGCAATTTTAATCTTAAATAATAATTCAGTGAAACTATGGTAAGGATAAGAGCTAACCAAGCACTGCTAGTAATAATACACAGTGTTCTTATGTAGTTCACCATGTTGCATTAATCTTTCCCATCCCTTCAGTACTTTCAACTCCCATCTCGTTTAGGGAGGCTGGTGCTGGATGATAAGCAAGAAATCCTGGGGGGGTTGATTGACTAGAAAGGAAGTAAGAGGAAGGAAAATAGAAAAGGACAGTGTATTGCTCCAGTGTTTGGAAAACAAATCATAGGATTTGCCTGCAGCTTCCAAGCACTGTGCCTGAGGATGTTTATCTGTACATTTTGCTCTCTTAGAGGTACAGATTTTTTTCTGCGTAGTAGTACCTGTTTTTACAGGTATCACTATGCAGCACTGTTTACAGCACTTCATCTGAGAGTCACCTCTCTTAGTAGCTCGTGGCCATTACAACTTTCACTCAGGAGCCTTTTTTCTCACTTTCAGAAAGATCGTCCCTGACCCATGGGCGCCTCAACTACAGCAGGAAAAAGACTCTCCCTCGGATGCAGGTACTCATGTATGCAATATGAAGTCGCTCATGCTAACAGTGTATGCTACTGACAAATACTGGATCATCATCTAATTTCTTTCACCTTGGTCTGTCTTGGTTAGAACAAGACAAAGACGAGGAACAGCACAGACAACATGTTTCTGTTTCCTTCTGGCCCTAGCCAAAAAGTCATCCCTTTGCTCCTGATTTGTGAAAAAAACTAGGAGATCACTGATGAGTTCCATAACTATGGCAGCGTAAAGGTGCTGTTCTGAAGCCTCTCTTTGTAGTATGTACAGCAGACTGTACAGGTAATGAGATTTTATTTATCATGTGCAACACAGAAATGATAGTCTGCTTGAGAAGTTGTATAGATGATTTCCCTCCCCTGCTTCAGTGAGAGCTTGGCTGGCTGTGTGAGGGTCAATCTGTCTAATTTATTCCATCGTATCTGAGGACCTGTGGATGGAGTTCTATCAGCTCCATCAAGTTTCAAAATTTTGAAAGAAACTCAGACTTTGAATTAAATAGTTCGTAGCAAAAAGGTTTTAGAGATCAAAACAAATAAGAAGCTCAAAAGTAACATTAGTAGAAGATGAAGGCAGCAGCCTGTTGGCAACCTATGTTAACAGCAGCAACCTGTATATAAACTGACTTCTGCACTGTCCAGAAAATCCCCTCCATATCTTACCCTCTAATGCTGCATGCCAGTCCCTTACAGAAGGTACATTTTAATGTTATTCACATTTTTAAGCAGCACAAGAAGTTCTTGGGCAAAGTAATTTCTAGGGTCATGCAGGATTCTCTTTTATACCTTGTGGATATAGCTACGTCCACTCTCCACCTGAAGTCCTGGACACTTGGCAGCCTACTTCCTTGTATGAGAGCTGTGGCTTCGGAAGTGGGACGCCTAGAGAGTAAATCAGAAATGGGAGACTGAAAATCAAATTCATAAAACAAACAACAATCTAAAGAGAAAATAAGATCCCTCAGAACAAACCGGTCTGAAACTTGTTTCTTTCCTACATCTATCATCATTTAGAGAGGTCTCAATGAGTGGAGGTTTTGTGTATTTAGGAAAGCTGTGCCCAGATTATCCACTTTTTCTGTGCTTAACTACAGTCCATGTTAAAAAAGAGCAAGTGACTGTGTAATTCCAGTAAACTGATGTCATTCTAAAGTTCAGCAAGAGTCACTGTAATGGCTGGCATTTCTATTGTTTCAATTACATACAACTGTGCAGGTTAGAAAGGGATCTGCAAATGGATCTTTATCTTCATGCAGATCCCACAGGAACAAAGCAAGCATGGATGAAACTGGTGACTTGACCAAATAAGTAGGAATAAGGTCACTGTGCTCCTTCAGCAGAAAGCATATGGTATTAGCAAGCAGCAATGTTTAAAAATATAGAAACAGTAGAGTGCACTTGGAAGCATACTCACAAAATAATCACAGTGACTCTTGCTAAGCCAACACAATTTACAAACTCTGAAGTCCTCATGTAATGCTTACTGCCAACTCTTGCACAACCCTCAAGACTTGTGTCTAGTTTAACATGTGAGAAGCCAAGGCCTGAATTTATTACACGTATTGCAGGAACAAACAGGCTGATCCAGCTCAGTTTATTCCTGTGAGGAGATACAGTTGACAGTGGTTCAGCTTCAGATGGCTGACAATCTTTGAAATTTTAAGAGCATCTCAAGCTCAGGGTAACTTAACAAGCCAAATCTGATACACACCCATTTTTAGACATACATGCAGAAGTACCTTCATCCCATGTGTCCTGAAGTTATTTCCAGTACATTTCAAAGCTACTCCAGTACTTCCACTAAGGGCAGGATAAGAATGGTTGCATCCTTTATCCATGGTGCTAGACATCATCTAATTAGAGACTTTACATCAGAAAGGAATCCTCTGAACAAATCTAGGATTGCAGGAATGACAGTTTAACATCCCAATTCAGATTCTTGTGTGCAACTTAACTGGTGCCTTTAGAAACTTCCCAGAAGGATTAATGATTTGCTAAGGTCCACAGGACTGGCAGACTGAGATCCTCCAACACTCTTGCATTTAGCAACAGCAGTGTAAGAAAGAATTCATCCTTTTTTCCTTGGGGGGTGGTGGTGGTGGTGTGGTGCTTAGGAGGGGTGGGTGGTGTCAGAAGTGACACATTCCTTATAGTATGGAAAAGGAATGAGCAGAAAAAAACAGATTAGCTAGTTTTTACTCACTGTCAGCTACAGGATAGGAAGTAGGTTACCACAGCTGGGTGCAACCATGAGGAGCTGGAGTCTAGAATGGTCATTAGCAGGATTACACAGTAAGAACAGGCCTTTCTCTCTGTGGCAGCTGCTGCTGGAGCATTGCTTTGTTTGTGGAATGCCTAAAAATAGCCACACGGCCACTGCTTCCTTAAGGCATGCTAACTCCCATCAATGGAAGACCATCCGGTCAGTCCAGCACCAGTATTTCAGGGGAAGAAAGAGTAGAGAAAATAGGAAGATGTTTTAGTTACCAGTGGTGGGGAAGATCAGCAATGCCCAAGCAGAGATGAAGCTTCTGAATATTGTTAAGCTACAGCATTTCTGTGGCTAAACCACAAAGCTTTAGTTCTGGTCAGGACTGTACTTCAGCACCACTCCCTCAGAAAGAGTCACAGCTTTTATAGCTTAGTTTAAGCTTCTGTCAGCACCTTTCAAGCCTGGACAAGATCACAGCTGGAACAGCAAGAATCCTGTAAGGATGACAGAATGTGCATATAGTGGCCAACATACATGCAGAAATTATGCAGGCCATTAATCAAGCCATTGAGTTCTAAGAGGAAAAGCAAAATGGAGTAGAAAAGACTCAATGGATCTTATATCCAAAACCTACAGACTATAATTACATTTTGTAAACACTCTGTGCCAACAGCTGCAATGTACTGTCAGTACATAGTGCCTAGGCAGAAGTTAGAACAAGTAAAGCACCATGAATCAGAGAGAGACCATCCAAATTATATGTGGAAAGGATGATACACCTGGTGACAAGAACATTATCTGCCAAAGGATGCAACAGAAGAGCACTCGAAAATGAAAGATTAGAGAATGTGGAGCAGCAGCTGACCTAACAATTCTAAACTAAAGACAAATTCTGGATGGTTCCCTATGCACACAAGACATGCCAAGCAGGCCACTGAACAGGGAGAATGAACAAATATGTATGTGTGAAACGCTGACAAATGGCACTAGAATGCAACCTCCTGGTAGGACCTAAAGCTACACTATTAAAAGGAGAAAGCACTACATTTATTACAAACATTCAGAGAAGGGGAAGTTAGGGTTATCTTTTCCCTTAAAAAACTTTATAATTTCTGCATTTATTTTATGGTGTCAATGTGGCAAGTTTTTCTTTCCTTTTGGTCTACACAGCTTGATGGAACTGTGGAGAAACTGAAGTACAAATGTCAAATTTCCAGTACTTCAGAGCTGTTGTTTAGTGAGCAAAATCGCAGAAACAGGATAAGATGCCAGGAAAAGTATTAAAAATGGATTTTTCTGGGTTATCTAGCTTATACTGAATTTTTGATCAGATGCTAATACTTCTCTTACCATCACAATCATATATATTTACAACTCAATAAGAATATGTATGATTCAGTGTTACATTTAAGATTATAAAAGCAGATCTGTCTAGAAATCAAATCTGAGGTACTCTTCTCTGGTCTGAAAACACAGAACAAGATTACACTGGCTAATCACAGCTTTTGAAATGAGAAAAAGCTAAATTTTCCAGCATCGTGATTTTGCAGTAGAAAACAGACAATCATGCATGCTTCAAATGACATCTAAATTTATCTTCTTTCTCCACCACAAACAATATTTCCACTTTGCAACCATGAATTTTGCATTCTTGACACCTATAATTCAGACAGAAGAGCAAGAAAAAGATGAGAAGGCTGAATTTATTTTTACTCCAAGAACCTTTAGCTTTAAGCCAAGATCCTAACCAAGGAAATGAAAAATATTTTTAACTTTGGTAGCAGCATTCAGACCCTTCTGAGGCTAACTGAAATACCACGACTATGATTACTGGGATTCCATGCAGAATATCTGGAGCAGCATTGGGTTAGTGATGCTATGTGCTGAGTGACCTCAAGTTTCAAGGAGAAAAGTTCTGCATATGCAAACATTCCAAGCAATTTCTACATGTAAAATAAACTGAATATGGTTGAGCAGAGAACCACATAGAAAAAAGGAATCCCTAGAAGGGACAAAAGAGCTAAGTGGTTCAAAAAGTTCTTGATTCAGTACTTCCTCTGGAGCTACTGCTTAGAAAATGAATTACAGCTATCAGAGCACTTGATATCTCATACATGTCATCAAGTGACTCAGTGTACATAAAGATTGGACTAAATGCTGTGAAAGCTTCCATAAACCACAGTATGTAAAAGGCATATGTAGCTTGCCTCCCAATAAAGCAAGTCTTTCACTTTGCTTTAAACTGAATGATAACAATGATTAAAATGCTTAATTCTACAATGCATTTTCATCTGTAGGTACTGATGTACCTTAGAGAGCCTATAGAACATTATAAAAATAGATGGGTGATTATCACAGAAAAAACTGGAAATTGGCATGAAAGCTACTTACTGTATTTACAGCCACACATGATGGACATCGTGTCACACTGAATCAAAATAATGGGACAAGTGTTGTTCATATTGATTTAGAGAATTTTGCTGTTCCTGCAGTAGGCCTGGGACTTACATCAGCACAGCTCTGTGCAACCCTGCTGCCTGCACCATGCAAGATACTTGAAGATACCAACCTGTTTCCAAAGACTATACTGGAAAAGTCCACAATGAAATCTTCTGGTATCCTTAAAGAGAAGACCAATACAAAATAGTTAAGTTTTTTTGTAACCACAAATACATGGCCTTAGCTACCAAAACAAAAAAAAAATCTATTACAGAACACAAAAATGTGTCATTGTTTTCCATCTTCCATTGCTTAAAACTGACATAAGCACTTTGGTATTGACTCAGTCTAGGCTCTCAAAAGGACAGCCTATGTTTTTATATCAAGAACCCTAAGAGCTGTATTACATCTTCCTGTCCTACCTAGTACGACAACGGTATTTGCTTAACTTCTCTCAGTCAAGAAAAGTTTTAGTGATGGCTCTGCCAAGGCCAGCAGTTCTTTCTTTCAGAAACCCAGACCTACACATTTCACTTTCACCTGAAGTGTAATGAAAAGAAGATGGAACGAATTGCCCCCACAAAAGCAGTAACAGAGGCCCTTGTAGCTAAGATTACTTAGAAAAGGAGCATAGCTAAGATGGGGAGGACAAACACAGATTTGATGGGGACCATGAGAACTGGTCGCCTAGACTAACTTGCACCCCATCCCACCCTGTGGCTCTCCAGTACTTTACTGCTCCTCTGACACTGTTGTTGCCTCACAATCAAGCTGCTGTTGATTTTCAGTTCAATATATCAGGCTGTGAACTGCAAAGACTGCAGAGAAAACACTGTCTGTTCAGCTGTCTTTGCCACAGGGACCGTAACCTCCTACAGAGAGGCAGGTTGGACAAGTGAGAGAGCTACTGCTGTTGCCACGGTTCAATCCAGCACTCGACACACATCAGTGCCCAGAGACATTACTCACCAGTGGTTTGAGATACACAGCGGAATAGCAAAGAAAATCAAAGCAAACAGGGAAGTTATGTGTCCTAAAGGGCTTACAGTGTCTAATGATGGGAGAAAAAACAACTCATCAACTCACACAGTGGGAAGATGAAACAGCAATTACCAGCACTTTAATTCTTAATGGAAGAAGTGGGGTTAAAATACATTTTTAAATGGTGTTTGGATAAAACTGAATGCATATTAGCAAGGTAGTCATCTGAGGCAAAGCGGGAAGTGAGGAGGAGGAACTAGACAGTGCTTTTTTGGCTGCATGTGTCTGTCTGTCTTTCAGAAGAGACATGACTTTATTTCTGCAAACATTACTTATACCTCCCCTGCAAGCATATCACTTAACCCAGCTTGATGATGACCCAGTATCCTTTGTATGTAGGGGAACAGCTGGAGACAGGAGGCTGTAATATGATTGTTATGATACCTGTCACAATAGTTGCTCAACTGTAAGAGCAAGTGTTAGTAAGCAAGACACACTACTGCTACCCTTGAGCTTGCATTATTTTTGCCAGGCAATTAATGATTTTGCCAAAAATTCTGTACCTGGCTCTAACAACTTCCATGAGGCCAGTCACACACTAAGCAGATCAGACACAGAACATGGCACAGCTCGGGCCTGAGCTACAGATGGCAATCAGTTTTCAAAGGGACATTCTGAGGAAGAGACTCAAAGGGCATGGAAGATGTGGGGATGGCTCAATCCTATGTTATTTGCCTAAGCCATAACGTTATTAAACAACCTGAGGGTTGTGTGTGGAAATAGTACCCACAGTTTAGAGCGAATTTCTTCTCACTGGCTCAGCCAGTCAGGCCAAAAAATAGGGGATACAGAACGACAACCCTGTGACACCCGTAGTACTGATGTAATTAATCAGAAGTGGGCATTACTGCAGCCTCTCTCTCCACCAAAAATAGAAGCCAAGACCAGGTGCATTACCAAGAAACACAATTAAAAGACTTTATATGGGTTGTCTTTTCACTGAAGAAAACAGAATGCAGGAGAGGCAGAAAAACAGGTAACTTGGCTCAGAGCCCAACCCTTTTAAACATCAACACAACAAAAAAAGCAAAATAAGCCATTTTCCTGCCTTAAAAATGCAAAATTCCTGCCCAAACTGGGTGCCAATAATGCCAAGACACAGCTGTTCACTATGTGTGTTCTTCACGCCCATGACAAAAAGTGTGGTCAAATGACAGGGATGGAGGCCTGGGAATCTATATTTCTAGACACAGCCGGTGTAACACAGCCAGCTTAGCCAGTGACTTCTGCCACTCCTGTACACCAACTTTCTCCACGGCTCAACAGAGGAATATTTACCCAGAGAACTCGGCACAGAGCTTTTAGCACTCTTCATTATCCCTTAATCACACTGAACACAGCCTGTGCACACCTCAAAAACACCAGCTCCCACTGGGTCAAAAGCAACTCCTCAATTTCTTCCTGACCTACTTTAACCTGGGTGTGAACTCTGTGACCTGGGAGAGGAAGCAACTTGCATTTTAGCTCACAAGACAAAAGGCAGGGCAAACCCCAGCACTGAGCTGCAGGCAAAACTGTACCAACTAGCCAGGCACCTTTCATCATGGCCCCAGTTACACCTTTCACCACTTACATGTCTAAATCTGCAGCTTTAACTTGCCTGAAGTTGCTCACAAAATGAGTTACGCCTATGGCTCTGCAGAACAGAGTCTGAGGAGAAAGCCAATGTGCAGGTTAACAGACAAATAAGGATGAAAAATACAGAATTAGAAACATACTGATCTATTTCTCCTTGGTGGGAATCAGAATGCTGAGAGTTATGGGAAATGAGCATTTTAAAATGATTTAGCCTTGGTGCAGAGGTTTCTCTACAGATGAAACCAGCAACTGCTGTTATTCTCTCCTTGCTACTGAATATGGAAATAAGGGAAAATCTATAGAGATGATTATCATCTGAAGTCTAGCTTTTAGGATACGAACTTCTACTCAGAGATGCTCTGGAAAGGCCGATACCGATTCTGATGAAGTCTGTAACAATCATTATGCTTTCTGGGTAATGGGCAGGAGAGATCACTGCTGAACAAGGTGGTAGAATGTCATGAATGTTTTATCATTGGCCTTTCAAAAAAGGAAAAAAAGTAGGGCAGTTTCTTAGCTTCTGAAATGCCTTACCAAACATGTTAAAATATATTGCAGGGCAAGGTGGGGCTGGCAGAGAGAAGGTCACTCACATTTGCATAACCTACATTACAGACTAAATTAGACAAATCTCTCCAGCATGTGAAATTTACTGCTCATGCTAGGTGCTAACTCAAGTCTCACACAACACCTTCGGCTTCACATGACATTTGGTAACAAATGTATTCTGTTTGCATAAATAGGCATACCTGAGCTCCTTTAGGTCTTCCTTAAAAACCTAGAAAGACAAAGAAGGTGAGATTTTACAGGATGTAGTCTTGAAAGATCATTTTTTACCTGGTGAATTAATAGTGGTTACCTGCTTGGTACCTCCCCCCAAAAGACTTAATCTCAAGTACCAGTAGTATTGAAATGACAGGTTACATATTAAGAAGAATTTCCAGAAGCCTTCAATTGAGTAGTGAGAAACTAACTTTAAAGACCTAAATCTGCTGGAAGCCTTTATTTTTGAAAACAACATCCCTGCTATTTCCTTCATGTAGCTATCCATAACATTCTTTTTTTAGAGTAATTAATTACATACCCTTATTCTCAAATATGTTTTGCAGTAACCTGTTTAAACTATGATAACAGAAAGGAAGCGGTGAAAGATAAGCTCTGAGTACTACAAGCATATTTTCAATATGCTTCCTGTAATATGTGAGATTTTCCAGCATGCCTGGGTAAATATGAAAACAGTATCTTCAACAAGAGAACAGTGCTGTAAGCCCAGAAGTGGTTCACTCACATAAAGTAAGAAAAGAAGAAATGTAAGGTAAAGTAACATGAAAAAGAAAATAGTCATGAAGCAGGGACAGGTGTCAGAAACATGGCATCTGTACCTATATTCACACAGAACATTCATAGCAGAAGCAGGAAAACCTCCCAGTTTCCACTCCACTGTTCCAGCCATGCAACCTTCCTTCCTCTAAGGCAGAAGCATGAAGAAAGGCAGGCAGACAAATAGGAGGTATTTTAAGTGTGGACAGAATGAGCGGTCCGTGCGAGCACATGGTTATGGTAACAGCGAGCTGATGCCAAGGAAGTAACTTTGCAATAGTTTCTTTTGGGGTTTTAATTTAAGAGTGAAAACAAATATGCCCAGTGCAGGTGCTGAAGTAGAAAAAGATCTCTTTCCCAAACCTTAAATACTCTTCCAAGAAGCTCACTGTAAACCTATCTAACAAGTAAAACAATAACCTCTAGATTTAAAGTTTCTTCCAGCCACTTTAACTAGGAACATTTTTATGTGTAGCTCCCCACCCTGGCAAATAGGTTTTAGATGGTAACTCATGCCTGATGCAGCTTTTAACTTATCAGGACTCCCAAGTACTCCCAGAACTTACTTCTTGTTTGAAAGTTGATAAGGGGAGTCTCAATGCCTCTCGCAGGAGGGTATACATGCCAGAAATGAGGAAAGCAAGTTGCTCTTCTGAGAGATTAGAGCTTTCTGCAATAAGCTTGACAGATTCCTTGCAGTCTTTTCCTTCCAGCGCATTAACAGTGACTGTGAATAAGAAAGCAAAGCAAGATCCCTTTAAAAAGAGGAAGACCTGGACAATGTAAACATCAGCATAAATGTGTATGATTTTACTTGACTTACTGTACTGATATTTTTCCTGACATGAAACTGCCACTTCAGGTCTCTGTAAATACATCTGGTCACCCACCCCCATAGGTCAGTCTCACACCACTTTACCAAGAGAACTTCAGTGGATTAAATTTTTTGCATTGCAAAATGGGAGATGTTTTCATTGATAGAATTTCTTTCATTATCATGCAAAAAGAGTAAAATTATTGCTTGTAGGTACAATTCCAGCTTGAGCTTCTATTAACAAACTTGTTCACATCAGAAGTCTGCTTAAAGGTTAATGACACTTCTGATACACAGCATAGGAGAGGAATTGAGCAAACGATCCAACACTGTTCTCCCAACATTTTACGTCATTATCTTGCAATTTCAGCAGAGACTAAGGATTAAATGACAAGAAGACAAAATTAAACTTTCAAGTCTTGTAGTTTGCACAACTGCTGATAATGCAAACTTGAAAGGAAGTGACAGTTAACCCATGTTGCAGCATTATACATTAATAACCGGTGTGGGTTTATCTCAATCTTCACCATTCAATTACTCTTTCTTTTCCCATGTATGTACTGGCTTATATAAATTTCTGTTGTCACATCAGCCTCTGTCCTGCTCCCTGATCAGCCTGGAAGGGCTGCTGAGCCACAGGAAGCCTCACTGTGGGAAAAACAGATTAGTGACACAATCCCATTGCAGGATCAGGGCATTAGATTAGTCATTTACAATGAGCCATATTAGTGCTGTGAATAAAACATGAAAAGTTAAAAATGTCCACCAAGTGGTACTGAAAGCCAGCACTAAGAGATTATCTTAATACTAATGTTGGGAAATAAATAAAAAAGAGCTCTAATCGAACTGCCAGCCTTCCTCTTGGTATTAGGTGAGTTCCACTGGCTACTGTTTTCTAATTCTGCATAAACTCTCTTTGCTTTTCACATTTTTAAATGTGCACCAAATTCAGTGGCAAGTCTTGTATCATTCATGTTAAGAGATATAAGTTAGTTTAAATAAGTTTTGAATACTTTGAGTCACTTAAACTATTGTGGGGTTTAGTATGCCGTTTGCTCAGTTCAACTTGCTTTGCATCAGTAGCTAGATTTGCTGCAGCCTTAGGCTGTAAGCTGTGGACTTTCACCTAGATATGCTTTCTGTTAGTTTTCTTAGTGATCTTTCTAGAGGCTAGTATGGTGCTGTGTTTGGTCTTTAGTGTGAGAAGAACTTGATAACACACTGATGTTATAGTTGTTGCTAAGTTTAAGTTGTTGCTAAACATTTAGATAATGTTTATCGTAGGCTTTTCAAGTGCCTGTGCTCTGCTGACAAGCAGGTTCACAAGAAGCACAAAGCAGAAGATAAGGAGGCTACAACCATCAGTAGAAGCTATAACTCAGCAAGATAAGAACAGTAAACAGCCTGCCTGTATGGAGGCAGAGAAATAATCCAGTAAGGTGTTAGAAAACCTCAGACCAAAAAATTACCACTGGACTAAAAAGGCATGTGAGAAGCAGGTTGTGTCTGAAGGAGGAGGAAGTGTGCCCAAGAATGTGTGTGAGCAAGGAGTCGAAAGGAGCACCCATGTGCTCACTGGAGCTGCCTGCTGTGAAGGCACTCTGGTCCTAGCAGTTATCTTGGGTGGTGTTATATGCAACTCCTTGGATGGTGTGCAAGTGCTCAGGCAGCAGCTTCTCCCCTAACAAGTCACGTTGCTGACTGAATTTGTCTGGCACTACCTATATGGCAGATTTTGCACAAGTAGCAAGGGTGTGCAAGGTGCTAGTACTGCTAGTACCAAGCCTTCCATGCTGAGAAAGGCTCTGCTCTACGACAACAAAACTGACTTTGAGTCTGCTGGAATGGCCACATACTGATCAGCACCGAGGCCTGCCTACAACACCATGCACAGAGCAGGAAATAGATTGCTGCTTACTTACCTAGAATCATAGAATAGTTAGGGTTGGAAAGGACCTTAAGATCATCAAGTTCCAAACCCCTGCCATGGGCAGGGACACCACACACTAAACCATATCACCCAAGGCCTCGTCCAACCTGGGCAACCTATTCCAGTGCCTCACCACCCTAACAGGAAAGAATTTCCTCCTTATATCCAATCTAAACTTCCCCTGTTTAAGTTTTAACCCATTACCCCTTGTCCTATCACTGCAGTCCCTAATGAAGAGTCCATCCCCAGCATCCCTATAGGCCCCCTACTTAAACACAACTTCAAAGAGCAACAGGTCACTTACAGTTAGACAACTAAACAGCTTTAATGACAATAGTGGTCTGCTTTCTGTTGACTAACCCTAATAATTAGTTAAAAGTCCACATAATCTTTTATAATCTACTTACATTCCCCTACAATACAAGATATTTTTTACTCAGTACAGTTCAGGGAACTCAGCTGACACAACATTTCCAATAGTCAATCTGAAGTAGAAAAGAAAAAGCCCAAAATATCTCAAGAGAATCTCATTGCTGGATCATTTGCTCCTGGTAGGAAGTAAATGACACTTTAGCAGAGCCTGCAATATCACAGGCTAGATAACCCTGAGATAATGGTATATGCACTTTTTACACTGTGAACTGTGCAGGTATATGAAGCCACATCTCATTTTATGATGATTTAGCAGTATAACAGCAACAGCCTCAAGAAACTAACTTGGTGCAAATGCCAGAGCAATTCAGATGTATTGGGTAGAAATCCACGTGTTCAAAGACTACTAACACTTCACAGGACAACCTTCTGCCCTGCAAGCTGTCTATCCCCAGCCAACAAGAGCAGAAGATAACTGGAGAGCTCTGCCAGCCTCACATAACCTGGGCACTTGGATGAATCCCTTGGATGAATCATTAACCTGCCCTGCCTTCAGACGGCTCTGAAGATCTGTTTGTTCCCCCTACAGTAGGAAGCATTTATTGCACACCTAAATGTAAGCAATAATCACACTGAAATAAAACTCAGTTGGAGCTTAGGGGACAGTCAGGCTTTCTGGCACCAATGTAAGTGATTGGTCTTCGTTGTCTCTGCACTGGACAGCAAATATGGTTCAATACCTGTATTTACTTTTGTCCCAGTGCCTCTACCTATACATCTGCTTTATTACTTTCAATTACTGTAAGGAAACCCGGGATGCACTGCTTCATTTCTGGCACTGCAGCAACACGTTCAGAGGCAAACAGCTACCAGATGCCTCGAGTCCTTATTGACTCAATCCAAGGAAAAGAAAAAAGAGGCCCGAAAATAAATTATCAGAGAGAACACACATGCCAGGGCTGCAGCACTGCGCTGTCCGTGCAGCACTTGGGCTCCTTAGTGCTGTGCTTTTGTTCTACTCATCAACTCTTGGAATATCCTGCAATTATTTTGCATAAAATAATTTACTCAACCAAGTAACTCTGATTTTGGAAGTCAAAGGTGCCTTGAGAAAATCGCAACTTTCTTGCTTTACCGCAGGCAGGAGCCTCACAGAGAAAAACCTCATCAATCACTGCAGCCTCAGCTCCAGTCAGACACCTGCACTTAGAGCATCCTTCATTTCCTCCTGCACGTTTTGACAGCATCCACGGGAGCTCTGGCTTTCTCCTGACCGACACAATCCCACCGTCACTCGACCACTGGCTCTGGGGCTGAGCGGGGAGAGAAGAGTGAGCGCTCCTCGTTCTCACGGACCTTAAGGGGTTTCAGAATACACACAGGAAAACCCGTCATTAATTCAACGCTCAGCTTTAGCTTCCTGCAGGGAAAAGCACCGGGAAGCGCCGCGGGAGAGCGGCGACCCTGCCCGCGAAGACCCTCCAGCTGTCCCCGCCTTCCCCACGGAACGCGGCGCTGCCCTCCGGCTCTGACCCACACCCTGCGGCGGGGCACCGAGGGCGGCGGGATGCCCGGGGCGGGGCTGGGCAGGCCTCGCCGGCCGTACCTCTGAGGAGCCGCCGGAAGGTCTCCTTGCCCATGTCCTGCAGGACCCGAGCCATAGCCTCTACCTCGGCCGGCACCCGCGGCCCCAGGAAGCCGCCGCCGCGGCCGCCACCGCTCTCGCCGTGCCCGTGGGCCGCGGCCCTGCCCGCCGCCACCGCCGCCGCCATGGCCGCACCGTCCCGCTGGCGCCAGGGGCGTGCTGGGGGCGGGCACACGGGCTCGCCCTCCGCCGCGGCAGGGGGCGCTGTGCCGGACCGGAGTGGAGGACGCGCGCCGGAAGGAGCCGTCCGTGCGGCTGAGGCGCATCCTGGGACCGGCCGGTGATGGCGGATCGGCAGTTGCCATCGTGAGGCGATCTCCTCCGCGGCCCCTCCCCGCCCTTGGCGGGCCACGCTGCAGCCATTCCGTTCCCGTCGAAATGACCGAGGAGCCGTACGAGAAGTTCCTGGCCCCCGAGGAGCCGTGCCCGCTGCTCTCGCACCAGCACCCGCCGCGGGGCGGCAGTTTGAGCCTGAGCGAGGAGGGCTGCCTGGATGTGAGCGACTTCGGCTGCCAGCTCTCGTCTTGTCACCGCACGGACCCGCTGCACCGCTTCCACTCTAACAGGTCCGCCCGCCTCTCCGCGGGGTTCTCCGGTCGCTGCCCATGCGGCGGGCCGAGGCGGCAGGGCCGCAGCGGCTCGGGAGTAGCGAGGGGCCCGGGGCGGGCGGGGCTGCTGTGGAGCCGGGGCTGCCGCGCGGCAGGGCCGTGCTTCCCTCCCCGTTTTTCTGCCAGCACTGTGCGACCGGGCTGCGGTTGCTCCCGGTACCCGCTCGCTCTCCTCTGCCTGGTTTACGGTTGCCTTTGGCAGGGCTGTGTGTGGGCTCAGCCTGCGTTCGGCTAACAACGTTGAGCTAATAACGTTAGTGTGAGCTTGGTCGGTTTTTAAGGTACGTTTATTCCTTTCTGAATTTCTTGAAATGCCGTTTTGAGCACTGTAGGACAGGGAAATGAAGAGTGGTGTGGTTATAGTAATTAAAAGCAGGCCTTGCGTGGACACCAAGCAAGCCTTCAGAGGTTCAGAATGAATCAGGCAGTTCGGTGGCTGCACCGATTCCTGCAGAAACATTTCCATCCCATGCTACTAATTAAAGGCCTGTCTAATTTATAGAAGAGGTCTATTCTGAAAATGCAAACACAGCTCTACAAAGGAATTCCAGTTGTGTCTCTCAAATCAAACCCCACAGTCCTGTTTACCTAAGAGCCTCATTCTGCTACTGTTTATGCATGGTATTAAGCTTGAATATAGCAACAGCCTATTTTTGAGAAGAGTTTGTGACTTTTCATCTTGAGCATACCTGTGGGATAGTTTTAGTTCCTGTTCCAGAATTGCAAGATAGTTTTACTAGTTACTAGGGTTTCTATTACAGCATTATGAAGAGTGGATAACAAGGTAATCTTTCAATTGAATTTGTATGAAATAATGGAAATTATGATTTACAAGTGTCATTCACAAGGGCAGGCTCTTAATTACAGACTCTTAAATGATTCACTGTGAAGAGCCTTGATGGAATATGAAGCATTTTCATGATCTGGTTCTTATATTGGAAGACTCAATTGTGACATGAACAGTAAGATGTATTCATAACATATGTGTAAGATAAGTATGTGTTAATCACCAATTTTGCCTTTATTTAGTACATTTCTCTTTGCATCGTCCCTTCTTGAGCGTATTACTCTGACTTGCTCATTTTACAAACCTAGCTTTGGACATATTGAGTGGGTATTTCTTTTCTTGGGGCAAGGACATGCTCTGTCTTGCACTGATAGAGCCATTGTAGATGCACAGCTCAGTCCATAGTGTTCACGTAAGGCTTTCTATTTTTTTAAGTTATGCGTAATTTTAATGTAGTTCCTATGACTTGCTAATCCTGCTTACCCCAGCAGGCACAGCATCCCCAAGTTATGAGAAGGCGAGGGCTGACTGCCTGTACCTGCAGCGGTACTGCAAACCTGGAATGTCTGTGTATAGCTTGTTGGTGGTATAGCCCTTGCACCTCATCCTCTGTTTTGATTGGTCTGGAAACTTTGTCCACTCTGTCTTTCCTTTCATCAATATTTCATGGATAGTGAAACCATAGTAAAGTTCAGAAGTGTGCTGTTTCACCACACTTATGTTCTGCTCGGTATCTCTATATATACTCTATATTGATTGCCCTGCTCACTATAAAGTCTGTACTGGTAAAAAATCGCACCTGAGTAAGGAGTGCAGGAAAGGGAGGACAAGATCTCCTGAATCTGCCAAAGGAAAAGTTCTGAAATGCCTTTAGCATTGGATAAATTCACTGCTGGCCAAAGAGGTGTGGGAGTGAGACCATCACAAACATATTTAGCCATCCTGGTATGCAGCTTAAATAATGACAGTGAGGACCAGCCTTTCTGGGTGATGGCATCGCTCAGCTTCTGCAGTTGGTTAGAGGAATGTTTTTCTAGTGACCTAGGCTGAAGTGGAAAGGCTGACGGGACAGGAGTTCATGGCATGGGTTTGAAAAGGGCTTCTAAAATTCACAAATTGTTGTGGCCATGTGGCAGTGCTGTGCTGAGTCACAGTTGTCTCGACCTACTTTTCACCAATGTGTAAAAGAAATCCAGATATGGAGACTGATTTCATGAGCTTGTTAAATTCTGGCTTACTCTCATTAGACTGAAAAAACCTGTTCTGTGAAGTTTGAGTCCTCAATTGCTTTCCTTTAGCAACAGCATTAACTAGCTTTCTAAATGAAATTATGAGGGAGGGTGGGAAAGTGTTCAGTTTTGGCACTGTAGCATTTCACAAAGGTCGTTTTTGCATTTCACATGTTCGCATTCCAACAGCATGTCCAATATTTTTGGCATTCAGAGTTGAAAATAGTGAATTTGGAGCTTTAGGTATATCCGTAATGAGTTTCCTTATTAAGCCTTAGTTTTTTTGGGGGGGTTATCAACCTAGATTTACCTTTTGACTCCTACTTATCCTGAAGTCCAGTTGATTTGCTTCTTAGTTTTGCTTGTTCCAGTCTGCATGCAAGTTTAAGTATCCCAGTATATGTGAAATTATATTTTTAGTTCAGTGTATTTAAAAAAAACAACCACAACAAACCCAAGACAGACAATTTACACGCTACAGGAATCATGGCTCTGGTGTGGAAACTGTTAATATACTAAAATAAAGGTGTAATTCTGTTAACAGTATATGGAATTTTGTTTTGCCATTTTTAATGTTGAATTCCCTTCGGTGTTGGATTATGGACCCTTAAAAATACTTGAATATAGAATGCTTCACGTAATTATAACACTGGAATAAAATCAATGTATAAGGTTACTGACAAGCAAAGTGGAGGTGGTTTTATGAGGCTTAGAAGAATTTCCCAGGCCACATGATATTGATAGTTTGCTGCTTTCTGTGTTTTGCAGGTGGAACTTGACATCGTGTGGAACCAGTGTAGCCAGCTCAGAGTGCAGTGAAGAGCTGTTCTCATCAGTTTCCGTTGGGGATCAGGATGACTGTTACTCTCTCTTGGATGACCAGGAGTTCACCTCTTTTGATTTGTTCCCGGAGGGTAGTGTCTGCAGTGATGTCTCTTCTTCTATCAGCACATACTGGGATTGGTCAGACAGTGAGTTTGAGTGGCAGGTAAACTACTTCCACTGTAAATGTGAAATTCTGTATAGGCTGTTAAGTGCTGGTTTAGCTTTTATTGAAAAGTCCTCATCATTTGTTTTTGGGTAACTACTGAACGTAAGAGCAGATTGCTGAGTCTTCAGTGATAAAAGAAAATGCTTTGTTCTGTTTTGTTCCAGCGTTCTTAAATTGGAGGGGGAGATTGAAAGTCAGCTTTTCAAAGAGTGGTGCTTATATATTACGATAGTTTGGTCTTCGGACCAATATGTGTCTTCTAGCTATGAGCTTAGATCCTTTGTATTAAGGATCTGCCCTGATATTGGAATCTACCTGTAGATGTTTGCTTCCAGTGGTTTGGTCATATTAAATCTTTCTTTGGAATGGAGCTGGCATCCAGACAAATTGTGGAAGCTTTTGCCATTGCCTGTTCCCATCTTTTTTTTTCTTTTTTTTCTTCTGTACAAGGAGTATTGAGCTTACTTTGTCTCACCAGGATGGGAAAAGCTTGAAGCTGAATCACATCCTCCTTTTTCCTAGTCAGCATTGGATTCAGTTGTGGTCAAGTATCTCTAGTTTGTGGTAGTTGTCTTTGTTCAGCAGCTTTTTCAGTTGTGATATGTGAATTGGTTTATATGTTACAGACTTGAATTGCCTTTTTATATAACGGTCTTATATCAACTGTGAGCATATAGATAGCTTTGAAACAGGAAACCGAGGAATACTGTTAAGTTTTGTCAGGAAGCTTACGCAAATCATGGACAGAGTCTGCAAAGTCAGTATAAGGACTGAAAGAAAGTATTGATTTTGAGAGTGCAAATCCTGTTCCAGAAGATGCAAATGAACTTAAAACAGCATAGACTGAGATTAGCTCTGAATTTCTTACTGGTTTTAGTCTGACTGCTAGTATCTGTGTATGTTGTATGACAGAAGTTACAAGTACATTTGTATGTTACAGCCTGTGGGAGCAGCTCGGATTGGATCCCAAAGATTCAGAGCTTCACTGAGCTGTGAAATGTTGTTTTGAAAAGAAGCAATTTTCCATGTCTTAGTTAGCTGACAGCATCCTTGATTAGTAATTACCTTTTCTCAATTATTCTTTCTCTTAAAACAAGCCTTTCTTAAGAGCCATTTGACTTGATTGGACGTGCAGAATTTTGGAAAGACTCTTTGTAGCTCTTTCCGGTGTTATGTGGCAGAATCTTAGCATGAGTAATCTGGCTGTCACTTTAACTGGACATGCGTTCAGAAATTACATCAGGTGTATAAATGAAGCTAAAGTTATGCAGTTGCTTCCAGGAAAATGAAAGTGATTTTAATTGAATTGTCTTGTGTAATTATGGGGTGTGGTATAAAGTACACACCTACTTTAAAATGGTCTTCCTTAAACTAGAACTTCCTTTATGCTTTAAAATGGGAGGTTGAGATTTAGGTTTGGGTTGGACAATAAGCAGTTGACACCAATGGAGAAGGCAAATAGTTGAAATGCCACATCATTCTGCTGTTCTCTTAAATCCAACGTGTTTAAAGAGAGGATTGGTAAGTAGAGAATAGCGTGAATTGAGTTTGCTATAATTGCCGTTTGTTGGAAGATTCAAAGGAATACTACAGGGTTAGGAGTAATTACTAAGTTAGAGTCTATGGATAGCAATTCTTTGCTAATCTGACGGTGTGTTTTGAATTGTTAATAGTGGCAGAATGGCTTGAAATCTGCCTGTTGTATTCTAAGCTTTTGTTCTTTCTCTTGCATATTACAAGTTGCCTGGCAGCGACATTACAAGTGGGAGTGATGTACTTTCTGATGTTATACCTAGTATTCCAAGCTCTCCTTGTCTGCTTCCAAAAAAGAAAAACAAGCATAGGAATCTTGATGAACTTCCATGGAGTGCAATGACAAATGATGAACAGGTGAAACTGACTTTTTTTCCTATGTGAGAACAGTAATATACAGAAGAACTTTCATTTAGTGCCACATCTTCTTAAAAGACGTACTGATTGCTTCAGTGTAAATGTAGACCTATGCAGTACTGCTTGATTCTTAAAACTAAATCTTCTTGTCTTTTGCATCTGTAGTAGGCAGCTTAATGTGCATTTGAGTTTTCACCATGAGTTTTTTAGGCTACTTAATGAGGCTAGACTGGTAGGAAATGCAGTATTTGAGCACATTTTATTGTGTTGCCCCTCCTGTTTTTCTGACACATTTAGAATCAATAATGCTTAAAATGACATGTCTTTCTTTGGGTCCTAGGTTGAATATATTGAATATTTGAGTCGCAAAGTCAGTACAGAGATGGGCCTTCGAGAGCAACTTGATATTATTAAAATTATTGATCCTACTGCTCAGATCTCACCTACAGATAGTGAATTCATTATTGAATTAAACTGTCTCACTGATGAGAAACTGAAACAGGTGAGTTAAGGTTTGTACATTCGACTTTGGGGTTCCAGCATCTGATAGTCTTGCAAAATCTCTTACGGAGTTGTGATCAGTCTTTATACATAAGCATTGTATAGGGAGATAAACCAGAGCACAGTATTGTCAATGAGAGAGTTCAAAAGCATTTATTATGTATTAAACCTTTATATAAAAGAATGTGGTTATATATTCTTAATACATGTTAAGCCTCTGCTGGCATGTGTGACTGTCAGCTGGTAGAGGTACTTCATTTGCTCACTGAAGATAAGCTAGCATGTCAAACTCCAAAGGATTGGAATTTGTTGGGGAGCACCGAGTAGAAAGCTTGGAGGCAGGAGAAGGAAAAAAACCCCAAATCTTTTTACTTGGTTTTCTTCCCTATTGTAGTTAATATTAACTTAGTGCTTAGTTAAGTTCTCTTGATGACTGCCAGATGGAATTTAAGCAGCCACAGCAAAATGTGGCAAAACTGGACTGATCTAATAAATCTGTCATTATTAACAGGGAAATCGTGGTTTTTGCATTAAAAGGAGTATCTTGGTCTAGTATGTATCAGGCTTTAGTAATTCTGCTTTCTCTGTTCTAAAGGTGAGAAACTATATCAAGGAACATGGACCTCGCCAGCGGCCTGCCAGGGAAAGCTGGAAGAGGAGTAGCTACAGTTGTGCAAGTACCAGTGGTGTGAGCGGTGCCAGTGCCAGCAGCAGCAGTGCCAGCATGGTCAGCTCAGCAAGCAGCAGTGGTTCAAGTGTTGCTAACTCTGCTTCAAACTCAAGTGCCAACATGAGTCGAGCACACAGTGATAGTAATTTGTCCACAAGTGCTGCTGAAAGGATCCGGGATTCCAAAGTAAAGTTTGTAATTTTGTGCATATGTATTAAGCTAACTTGTTAGAGTTTCTTGCATGATCTTAGCTAGGATATTTGTACTCGAGGAGCATGGTTAGTAGCTAAGGATTTGCTGAAGTGATCTAGCTAAACCAATGCTGACTCTTTCCTCTGATGCAGCCATAAGGAATTTAAACTTGTGCTCCTACCATCACTTGTAAGTGAAAGCCTGATGTTTTTATGTAGTAGAGTTTCTCATTACTTTTGTTTTGAATAAGGTGAGTGGGGGCTTCTGCATCTTACTTCATTCTTTGAATGCACCCCCAGTTTTGCAAAAAACAAAAAATCATCCAAGATTGATCAACCTGATCTAGGCACAGTTTCTGGACAGTAAAGCCTGTCTTGGTTGTGTGTGGGTTTTTCAACTAGAAGTTTAATCAGGCTTTTTGAATCTTCTTAAGTTTGTTCTTTGAACACATGTAATGAGATTACTTGGTTAGGAGAGACCTAGTGAAGTATGTTGCACTTAAAGTTGTACTGTGGCACTTGTCCCATCTCCGTAATTTCAGTTTCCACTGCGGAGGTCTCAATACTTTAATGTTAGATACGATTTTGGATGGATACTTGCACCACCTCTAAGAATTCATTTTAGTTATTTTTCAGAACAAATGTTATTTTAAAGGTTAACATACGTTTTCCAGCTTTAAAGGTGGTTTTCAATCTACATAATAAAACCTTATTTTTATTCCTCTTCTGTGTTTCGACAGAAACGTTCCAAGCAACGGAAGCTACAGCAAAAGGCCTTACGCAAGAGACAGCTGAAAGAACAAAGACAAGCTCGTAAGGAAAGACTGAGTGGATTATTTCTTAATGAAGAAGTGCTCTCTTTAAAAGTGACTGAGGAAGACCATGAAGGAGATGTGGATGTTTTAATGTGACGGGGGTGAATTTATCAGTGTTCTTTCTAAGCCTTAAGTGTATTATCCTTATTGTTTACATGTATTTCTTGACCAAATTTTGGTTAGTGTTAACAGTATAAACCAGATCTTTTCTCAAGTGTCATTTTGCTAAGAAGGTCTGAGTATGGAGTAACCTTTTGAGACTGATTTTGCAAGGAAGATCTCAGAAACTTAATTACCTTCTGAAAAGCTGCTGAATAGAGACAATTTTAAGAAAATTTGAACTTGGCAAATGTACTAATTTACTTGCAAGACATAAATCTAGGGGTTCTTTTGGATGACACTAAATATGCATTACTATGCTTCAGCTTTTTTGGTTTTGGCTTGCGTTTTTTTTCAGCTTAGTGTTAATACTACACTTGGCTTGTTCTCTCTTCCTTTCCCATTATTAGGAAGATTGTTTAGCATCTTAGGAAAAAGTCTTCAGTTCTACTGGGCTTTCTTTGTTTTTGCTCCTGGATCATACAAAATCAAAGTACTGTGATAAAGCCTTTTCTAGAAGTTATGCTTTAACTCAGACTACACAGAAAACAAGAAGCAGGACTTCTAGTGCAGGGAATCTGTAACACAATGCCTGACAATGTAGTTCTTTAGGAAGCAGTTAAAAAACCCCAAACTTGCAAGCTTAGTCTTCAGAAAGTTATTTTGCTGCTCAGTATCTTGTAGTATGATTGTTAACCGGTCGTTGACCAGTACATTCTTAGTATTGCTATGAAAGGATTCAAATTAGAAACACCTTTTTGCACTGAAAGTGCACTAATCTGCAGTTAAGTTGTCTAGGACACTACTTACAGTAGCTAAAGATGCAGCTGGAAACAGAAGTGCAAACACATGGCACACAGCTGGTGGCAGCTGTGCTTTTTACTTGTGTGTTTAGCTGAGGATGTGTTTTTTGTGGGTTGTTACACTGTTACATGTTACAGAATTCTCCTTTTGTTGTCTATCTGCCTTTGGAATTTCTCTTGCTAAGAACACGAGGTAAAATTAATGCTTTCAGGTAGGGAGGTAGAATAGTTTTGACCTGTTTCCTAATTGTGACAATCTGCAAGGTGACTTTTGTCTTTATTTTGGAGTTACTTGTTACAGAAGTTCATCCTGCCACAGCTGACGTAAAAATGATACTTTGAAATTTCAATGTGAAAATTAAAAGATTATAAAATAATTTTCTATTTCTGAGTTTAGGAGGTAATTTTTCATTATCTTGATGCTTCATTACTTTCATTTTGCTCTTCTAAATTCAGGAGTTTGGCAGTTTAGTGTAGGCACAGGTACCTGTAATTGCAGGATATAGGACTGCTCACATTCATTCTGCGTGTCCTGCACAGACCTATTAGCCCTGACAGCTGAATTATGTTTTCCTGTCAGAAGTGGCATTCCTTGTATCCTCAGAATAAACTGATGAGTGAGTAAAATACCTGAACAATGGCCTCTGAAAGGGCTTCAATAAGAAATAAATGAAGTTCATAGTCAAACTCATGTGTGAACTTAGTCACTTGTACTGCTGCTAGACACAGGTACCCAGCCTTGGCCACTGACTGGTTAAAGCCATGTAGTGTCATTTCTAAACTCGAGCGTTAACTGTGCTGTGTGGCCAGTTACCTGTTCACTAACTAGAAGTAATTGTTAACCTGTCAGTATTTGCTTATACTGCAAACAAGCTGTACAGACCAACTATAGCTGGTTGATGCCTCACTTCCTCCTGTAGGAACAGTACCAGAAACTTCTTAACAGTATGCAAGTTACTGAGAATCCAGATTGACTTAAATCTGGAGCTTCTTTTAAATATGTTGTGTGGAAGAAAAAAAATGAATTGCTGTCAATTCAGCTAATTTTGGGGTGAAGTTGTTGAATTCTTGCAATTTACTGTGGCTGTAATGGATGAATTCATCAGGGAATATTTCACTGTGTGTACACAGTTCAGGACAACCTTTATTTTCTGCAGTGACTTTGAAATGTGATTTTTCTTTTTCCCTGAAGAAAAGTGCACATTCAGTACAGTAGAAAATTGAGACTGATATGAATTCTAAGAAAGGTGTGATATCTCAAGGTGGTGGGGCATGAAACTGTGTAACTTTATTCTGTTTCAGCAGCTCTTCAGAGTTTAAAGTCTTTGCTGAGAGAAGACCCCCTAATTTTGCTGAGGTATAGTTCTTTTGGGGTACCTGTCTACTAGCTTCCAGAGATCGTGAAATGAGGGAGGATAGTATTTCCAGCTTTATCTTGGTGTGAGCATGTAAGTATAAGTTAATCCAAGTGATTATATGGCTCCAGTTGCTCATATGCTACATGGAATGAAAAGGTCCTGGGTGCCCCAGTAGCTGGATCTGTCATCTTCAGCTGCATGTATAGTCACTTGTGTGACAGTTAAAACTGTAGAAGAAAATGGATTTCCAGGGGTTCCATGGTTATAATTTATGTTCTGATGAGAATGCAGAGTAACGTCTTGCTTACCTAAATGTTGTCTTTGCCAAGTACTTGGCACCTCAGAGAATCGGGCCTGAAATAGCTGTGGGATTCAAGAGTTTCTGCATACTTCTACATGTTTGGGTTGTTTTCTCAAAAAAACTGGCCTTGCTGATTCAAGCATTGTCCATGTTGGCTATTGCTTTGTTTTATAGCAAGTTACGTACACGTTATTGGGTTCAGATAGATAAAGAAGAGTAACAGGCTGCTAAAACCATGCATTCTTATCAGTACTTTTTCAAAAAAGAATCAAATCTCTACTTTTTATTCATAAATAAACAATGCCAGATTTAAAAGCAAAATAAGAGACAAACAGGAAAAAACTCATAGTTGTATGGCTCCATGGTACTGAAGCTGTGTATCCAGGTGCTTTGTACCCCCTGTCATGAATGTAATCAATTTGCTGTCTGTAACGTTAACAGTTTGCTTCCATGGTAACTTTTTCTCTAAAAAGGCTTAGAAGGAGCACTGACAGTCTGATTGCAATAGGACTGTAAACAATAGAGAACATTCTTTTCTTATTTTAAATATGAGGAAGAAAGCTAGCTGCGTGACAAAGCTAATTTGTGTGTATGTATCTAATGTCACCCTTTGTCTCTGTTAAGATAATATCTATTTTTCTTTATCTGGGAAACTGATTAAAAGATGGTTATAGTATGCTCGGTATGGGGTGCTTACTAAGAAGAGCAAGAACAGTCTTTGCAAGACTTTCCTGGGCTTAACTTTTAGTTCTCATGTTGTGGTTTGAAACCTGTGAAGATCATTCTCTGGGGAAAAAACAAACTGACCTGCTTGAGTTTACCATTTACATCAGAGTCCATCTACAATATAGAAACAAAAAATGGCAGTATTTACTGTTCATCTACGCTGAATGGCCTGAAGCCATTCCTTCTAACACTCTTTTCAGCTTTTGAAATAAGTTGATGCATTGGTCTATAAATATTAATAAACCTGACTGTTTTGGGGGCTCTTGAACTTCATTCTTATAATCCAGATTTTCATGGCAAATGTTGTTTGATTTATTGGTTTAATGTTCTTTAGCTTACTGATCTTGCAGTTCTTGGGCATGGACAAGACAAGGCCACATTCAATTTTCCACTGAAGGATTGCAAAGATAGTTTATTAATCTACCAAGGGCAAATCCTAGTAATATTCAAAGCTCATCTATTTTGACTATTAACTGTGGGTAATCATTCTTACATTCTGGCTCATTTGGATAACTTTAAAACATTTCCAAATTACAACCAAGTTCTTCAATTAAAAAAAAAACAGAGAACTGTAATGTTGAAGCCTTCACTATAGTCATAACCAAAGCAAGGGGAAGGTGGGGGTTCTGTTTTTTTCGGGGGAGAGAGATGGGGCTATAGGGAGGGCTAGAGTATATGGTACAACTTCAGTGGAGTCCCCTCCCAGGTTCTCTGCTAATTGTATTGCTAAATGCACTTTTGTATAGAAACCTGTCCTCTGTACATTCTGTATCTACTTTACACAATGTTTATAGAGATTTTTCTGAAGTTGTGAAGGAATTACTGAAAGCTGCAATGCTGGTGACTGATGCTGTTGACTGAAAGTTTTCATTGTCTTTGAAAATAGTTATGTGCATATTGAAGTACAGGTTGGAATTAAAATTGATGACATAGTAAAGATAACTCTGAAACTATGTGGCATCTTCTTCAGAGCGGGGGCATTCATATGTAGGGCCTGTATACTCTGCACTGTTCAGGCAGAAAGTACCAATAAGTGGTACATGGTAGCTGTTCTTTGTGAAAGTAAAGCAGTCCCTCCTTAATTAGTGTGCTTTTTTAGCCACAAAACCTAATCAGAATTGTTTCACAGGAAAACAATGATCTGTGTGAATGATACAACCCAAGATCTTGTACTGAAAGCTGTCTTCAGTTTTGATTTCTGTGCCAGAGGATTTTTTTATACATATGCTGTGTTCCATATAGCTGTGGATATAGGAAGTCTCATCACTTTTGTTGCCAGCAATAACTCTGAATCTTTTTCTGCTGTTGCCCTCAGTACCCGTAACCATCAAACCACCACCTAGCCTGTCATGTTTAAAATGCCTAATAGGACTTACAAGCTGCCATCTTACCACGCTCTTGCAGTTCATCATGCAGGCACTCCTGTGTCACCGATCTCTTTTGCTACAGCAGAAGGAGGTACGCCTGGGGATAGCAGAAGTGATGTGCACCAAGAGATGCAGCAGCAGCAGGGACACAGCCGTGACTGGCTTTGCGATCACCAATGTTTGAGGAAGCTACAGCGAGGACACTTCCCAACCTGTGTATTCTGTGTTGTCCCTGAACCAAGCTTGTCTTCTGCAATACTGAAGTTTCAGGTGTAATAAATTCCTTGTTTCGTTTGAATCCAGCAGAAAAGCCCCTGAAGACCTGAGCAGAGAATAACTGGCAGAAGGATGTATTTGTCCATGTTCAGAAAGCCGCCTGCATCATCTTGGGGAGCTAAACTGCCCGTTCATCCCAGCTAAGGCTCATCAAATGCTTACAGATGTTGATTCTCATCAAGCAGTTACAGAAGTTAAAGCTGCCCAGTTGTTACCATTTCAGCCTGTTTCTGTAGCTACTGAGGGGCAGATGAGAGCAGGAACACTGCATGTCACAGCAAGTCTTTTCTAATGTCAGAGATCTTTAATTGTGGAGTGTGCGACTTGGAAGCTGCAGAGTAACTGCAGAGGCCGTTGCTGTTGTGGTGCTTTGCCTTCTCTTCAGCAGCCTGCCTGTGGGCTTTAGTTTTACCCACAGGTGGGTGACAGTGCAGAGTGCTTTGCAGCAAAACAAATCTAAATGTTGCCAAAGACCTTGACCCATTGTGGTGGTTGTTTGTCATAAGGACTTACTGCTCCCTGGATAGCACGAGCTGCAGGCAAGTTGATGCTTTCTGAATCATGGGATCTCTGTGAGTTGGTCTGCTCTGCTCCGGACATCTGAATTTTCCCAGGAAGTCCTGTTGCAGCAGTTCATTACCAAAGTAACGGCTGCATGGGCGAGTTGTTACATATTCGTCGCAAACAGCTAGCTGCCTGTTTGTCAAGTGAGGCCATGTGGTTGCAACTAAACCCTGTGTGTTACGGATCTTTTACTATCCCTCCTTAAGAATTTCTTCATTTATTTTTCCAGTGTGTCAAGTTTCACTGCAATGAAAAAGTCTCATTTGATGGCGATTTGGTTTCAAGCTGAACCAGAATTTTCACACTGGCAAAACAAATGTACAAACTTCCTTTATTAAACTGAGAGGGAAAGATCATGGTATTTGCCATTGATCTTGCTGTCCTTGCCCCCCTCTTACTACTGGCCTGAGCTGTACACTTGATCCAAGCATTTCCCAGTACAGAAATAGTTTGTTTGGCTTCCTGAGATCCTTGGTGTGTGCTCATAAATATCCTCTGTCAAAACATTTTTTTTTCAAGACCCCTCATTTCATGCTTTTTTCATGTGTCTTGTGCTCAGCAGCATCACTTGTTTCTCATAATGTAGACCCCAGTCCTGAGGCTTAAGTGTGATAATTCATCTTGGCTGTAGAGTCTGCCTAATGCTACTTCAGATGCAGTACCTGCTGTATCGTCGCAAAGCTTCTCAAAGAAAGATTTATTGTAGCTGAAATTTAGAATGCGACCCCCGGTTTGCTGTGATTTTAACGGAAGGTAACTCACGCATGTCTGCTGCCACTGGAGGGAGCACTGTAGTCATCTTACCTTTGAGACCACAGCTGCCAACGCCGCTTTGCTACAAACGCTTTCCTTTATTCTGTTCTGTTAAAACCAACATTTGGGGAATTTGCTTCTCCTCCTGCGCTGTGTTTAAAGAGTAACAGCACTGTTAGTTTTACAATAACAACATTTCCAGTGACTAGGGGAAAAAATCTTCTTTTTCTGTTTGTGGTGATTCTTGCCTGGTACTGCTTACTGCAATCAAAGGGTGGAAGTATATTCCTGTTTAGTATTAACTTATGTGTGCATGCTGCATTGCTGCTTTAAATTTCCTGGTCTCTGTTTCAAATTCAGCCTTTCTGAATGTGGGCTGAGAATTTTGCAGTTAAAAATATTAGGTGATGACAGAAAACAAGCAGTTGACTTTTAATGCGCTCTCATAATGTAGACACCCAGGAGGCAGGGGAGAGATGATAGAGCTTGGCTACCTTTATGTTCCTGAATAGTGACTTCTGGACAGGGCTTTGGGGCTTTGGAACAAAGGAAAATGCTGCTTCAGCAGGAAGTGTTCTGTAGTTAAATCTATTCCCCTCACACCCTCAACTTACCTGACAATTGCTGCTTCCTTTAAAATGTCACCAACACATAACAGCAGAGAGCATGCGAGGAGTTATCCCTGGAATCTCAAGTTCATTCTTGGAAGTTAAGTTTTTAGTGGTCCTGTGCAGAATTAGCAAGGCAAGGCTTTGATTACTGTGGTGGTGCAGATACACCAGTGTCTATAGCATCTCTTCTATCACTGTGTCAGTAGCTGTCATAAAAACAAAATGTGTGAGTAAGTACAAGTCATAGTCATCAAGTGAAATACTTATTTAGACAAATCTTTGCCCAGTGTATGGCTTATAAGGTCTTTGGTTTAAAATTGTCACATCACTATAGCAGAGATCCTTTCTCATGTTCAGCTGGGAAACTGCCGTTGGTAGGCCTTTGAGCATGCTGGCTGGTTGCAGGGTAAGCTGAGGCAGCTTGCTGGAAACAGCCTGTCTGGTGCTTGCAGTGGTCATGCTCCTGAAGAAAGAGTGGTATCTTCTCAATTCTATGCTCTTTTCACAGAAGCCTCATCATGGAAGTCTCATGACCAAGCAACATTCATCTTTACAGCACACCTGTCTTCAGTGTTGGGAGAACTGATGTCGTTGGCCTGGTACTTGTGAAATCCTGGACTTCATGAGCATATGCACTGTATTTCTTCTGGCTGCTGACCTCACAAGACAATGGGATGCTTCTAATTATATCGGTTAAATATTGCCATCTGGGTTTAATGAGCTTGAATATGCCAGTATATCATCAAAGTGTAAGTTGCCTTATGTCCAGCAGCAGCATGCTGCTTCTGCTGTAGAAGAGCTGAGATGGCTCAGTGCTCAAATGCACTTTTCCTTTCACGATGTGGACCTGAGCTGAAGGGTTGTTAGCTCCACCATGACAAGGGTGTAAAGTTTCTTGTGAATGCTTTGCTTATCCCGCTTATTGATAGTTTGTAAGTAGGGAAAAATACAGAGCAAATGGTCTGAAAACTGCGACGCCAAGTTCAAAATAGCACTTCCGTCTCTGTGACAGATGCCTGCAACATGGCTCCTCTGAAGGTACGCTTCCTACTCAGGCTCTCAAGTAGCAGATTGCTAAGTCATTAATTCTAGGATATCTCCCCTAAGGAAAGCATGTGCTGAAATAATCTGGAAAGGAGGGAGTGAAGTTTTAAATGATGATTGAAGAGTAAAGAGCTTCAAAATGTGACATATAAGCTGTTCATATCTACCTAAGTCTTTTGACTTGTTCTTGTCAGCTAGTTCCTGTCTATACCTCCTGAAAACAGTAAGTAGCAAGTGCAATATGGCAGTTTGTCATAGGGGTTGCTGAAAAGATATTTTTAATCCATCATAGACTTTCCTGGTTATTTAGGTAATTCTCATTTCTTGGTATTTTTCCCATTCTTAGTTGGTTAAAAGGCACTTGATTTAGTCCATGTTTTCTGTGTTTGGTGTAGAAATAAACAGGCTTGTCACAGGGTTTTGTTCCACCTTCTATTGTGCGTAGTGGGAGCGAAGAAAGAGCTGAGACAGGTTCATTTTAAAACAGATCAGTTTTCATGTATGGACAAATGCTTTCCAACATAGTTTAGATCACTTTGTAGGTTTTATATACTTTTTTTCTGCTTAATATTTAAATAAGGTGAATTTATTTATCAAATAGAAAGTATTCACAGTGTGTGTGTGACTTATAAATATGTCCCTCAACAAATCCATGCAC